TGAAAATTACAGGCCGCTCTCATCTTTTTAAGTGGGAGAACTTGCACAATTGGTGGCTGACTAAATACTTTTTTTCCCCACTGTAAATAAAAAATGTTAAATGTGTATTACATATAAAATTAATCTAATTAAAGTATTTTAGTTTAATAATTTTGAATGTTTTAATTATATGTAATTTTTAATATAACATTTTACATTTAATTATATATATATGTAAATTAAATTATATATCAAATATATATTTAATTTGATGTATATTTTGATTTAAAACAAATAAATAGTTTTAAATAGTATTTGTTTATTATATATTTGAAATTTCATACGCATGTATATAATTGAATTGATAATTATTTTAATAATGTGTGTGTATATATATATATATATATATACACAGTGGGGGAAAAATCAGTATTTTATGCTGTTTTATAAGTGAATGTAGTCATTCAGTATTACAATAATACATTATGAAATGCAAACAACTGTTCATTTTAAAATCTGTAGACTGCTTTCACATTATATGGTTTTATTTGTTAACATTAGTTAACTTGAACTAACAATGAATATATGTATATATGCACCATTTATTATCTTTAGTGTTCATTTCAACATCTGCTAATACAATTTTTCAAATCAAAAGTTGTAACATGCACTGTGACTTAATGAACAATTAGATTTTTATTTTAAAGGTTAATAAATGCTGTAAAAAGTGTATTACTCATTGGTTCATTTTAACTAATGCAAAATGATTGCTGGTGACCAGCAGTTTTTAGGGCTATTTCTATCTGATTTAACTCACAAATCTAGTTGTGTTGGTATAAATAAATGTATTTAGGTGGATTCACCGATGTTAAATTTTTTTTGACTTGAATGAAACCAGTTAATGTAGATGTTACCATTTTTTTTCAGTGTAGTTTTATAAATGAGACCTGTGAATTTGACGAGTATTATTAATATCTCAAATATTGAGTAATTAAGAAATACCTAATAGGCTACGTTCACACTGCAGGCAAATGTGGCCCAAATCTGATTTTTTTTTTGCTCACACGTGACTCAGATCTGTATTTGTCATGACCGTGTGAACGGCACAAACCGCATGGAATCTAATCTTTTCAATTCTGATTTGTGCCACTTCCATATGTGGTATTAAATCTGATACAGGTCACATGTTTTGCAATGCGACCGCAGTGTGAACAGTCATGTCGGATTTCATGCGGCTTTTACGTCGCTCTAGATCGACATTCGTCATAATTCCGCACTGACGGGAGACACTTCAAAGATTTGACATACCCAAAGTTATCAAGACAGTAGTGGAAAGGTAATCAGTGGAAGTGTGATGTGTCAGAACTCATGTGTATTACAGTGACAACTCTACAAGCAAAACATGAGGGCTCGTATCATAAAAGCTTCAAAACTCTGCTTTTTTTTGTCACATCCTTTTTTTCATATTGCCTGTGCATGATTTCACTGGCTTCTGTAGCAGATCACATTATAAATAAATGCATAATCGCTTGCTTTATATCCTCCGTGTTTACTGCGCAAGTGTTGCCAAATCCGCAGATTCCCCGCGGAATTGGGCTACTTTTTCCTTTGTTGCCGTGGGATGTTTTTCAACTTTGTGGGTTGACACGACCCCACTAACGTGATTTTTACCTTCCTGAACCTGATTGGGCTAGTTTTGGACTAGTTTTGAGAAAGAATTGGGCGGATTTTGTTGTGAAAATCTGGAAACCCTGTTCGTATCGTTCTTTTGTGCATGCGGGTCAGTTCAGAACCATGATCTGTTCACACTGGAAATCTGATATTGGCAACATTTAAAACAACAATGTGAACAGCTATACAAAAAAAAATCGGAACTGAGCACAAAGGCTCGCAGTGTGAACGTAACCTATATTTACTGCTAACTGATAAGGTATGATTGCATTGCTCAGCCTGTTGTTTTCTAGTATATTTTCTGCGTTAACGTTGACTTGTTTTCTTCCAGGTAACTGTGAGAGCAGCGAGACCCCAGCAGCCGAGAGCACATAGCAGCCCGACCCACAGCCGCCCCCCGGGGTTTTTAGCGCAGGCATCTCTGCGGACAGCCCAGACTGGCATGGCCCCCTCGGACCGGAGCCGTGGACCCCTGGAGCGGAGTCTCTCTCGCCCAAACTTCTGTAGTTCATTTTCCCCTCCAACATTTATTGAAAATCTGGAGTTTGTTTTTTTTTTTCACTTGGACTGCAAATAAACAAACAAATTAAAAAGACAAGGAAAAAAAAAAAACACTTTTCCATGTATGGCATCGGACTTGGTCGCTCATCATATTGATGAGCGTGAGGGTCCCCCAACATTTTTTGAAAATTTGGATTTTTTTTTTTTTTTTTCACTTGGACTGCAAATAAACAAACAAATTAAAAAGACAAGGAAAAAAAAAAAACACTTTTCCATGTATGGCATCGGACTTGGTCGCTCATCATATTGATGAGCGTGAGGGTGTTCCTCTCTCTCCGTTTAAGACGTGGCTCATCAAGACTGCAGTTTCTACCGTGGGACCGTTTTTTTTTTTACTCATTCTCTGTCTCTATCTCTCTCTCTTTTCATTGGCTCTCGGCTTCATCGTGACCTCGCCGCATCATTGCGCTTATCGGCCAATCGGCTGGCTGGAAGCTCCACGGTCACCTGACCTCTGCTGTGTTCCGTGTAGTTGTACCATTTTCCCCAGCTGATTTCTGCCAGCTTCACTGAGCGTCTCCTGGATATTGCTCACTTTCTAGGACAAGCTGACACTCTTACTAGTCTGCTAAGATGATAGTTAGATTTCTCATTGGTGTTAACGAATAAAGGACTTAACGGGCACACGGACTCGTGCTGTAGTGAATCTGTTTCTACATCTGCCCCCTGTACAAGAGAAAAATATCTTCACCCCAACATCCCTTGAAACATCAAACTGAGTTGTGTAGCTTCGTTTAGGGGCAGATCATGTTTAACATTTCTTTTTTTTTCTTTTTGTTTTTTTTTTAGTTGATCTGATGAGAATTTAACATTTAAAGCAGCATCTCGGTATTTGTTTTTATTTTCCATATTCTGAGAGTTTGTATTGTGTTGACCTTTTTTTTTTATATCGATTTACTATATTAACTTTTTATCCATTTTCATGTCGTTTGGAGACGATTTGTCAGAAAATGAAGATTTTCTTAGTGTGTTGGAAGTTTGAGTGCATTTAGACAGGAAAAAGAAAAGGACAAAAAAAAAACGTGTACCCTTGAATGTTCTGTAAATTTCTATGCGTATATTATCGCTTACTAGCACACCATGTCTCCGAACTCCTTTACAAAATAAATAGTAATATCAAAGGTAAAAAAAAGATGAAACATTTGAAATAAAAATTTGTCTTATGTCAAAACGTGGGCCTCTACTTCAGTTTCTCACTAGGAATAATCCATACATTTTCTTGAATTTGTTAAATGTGGATGAATCTGAATGTTTTTGGAACTAGTCTCTTCTGTTCACCAGTGCTGCATTTGATCAGAAATATTATTAGAATTTAAAACAACTCTTTTACACTTAAGTATATTTTACAGTGTAATTTATTCCTGTGATCAAAGCTGAATTGCTCCAGTCTTCAGTGTCACATGATCTTCAGAAATCATTCTAAGATGCTGATTTGCTGCTCAAGAAATATTTCTGATTATCAATGTTGAGAACAGTTGTGCTGCTTCATATTTTTGTGAAAACTGCTACATTTTATTTTTCAGGATTCTTTGATGATCCTTCTTTGAATAGAAAGTTCAAAAGAACAGCATTTATTTGAAATCGAAACCTTTTGTAACATTATAACGTCTTTACTGTCACTTTTGATCATTTTATTGCGTCCTTGATGAATAAATGTATTAAGAAAAATCGTACTGTCCCAAACTTGAGATTGTTAGTTATTTTGGTTAATTTGGATAGGACATGTGTGATGATGTTAATGTTCAGCAGATGGCGCCGCAAACACAGGCGCTCGCGATAACAAAAACTGCATCAAATCAATAGAAGCACCAGTTTACAATCTAAACAGCTGCTGCGATTGAGTGATTGAGGAGTGTTTGTCAATGAAGCTCTTTGGAAGCTGATGTCTTACAAGCCCGGGTTTTGACAGCTGTCACGCTGTTTACTCGTGTCCCGGTCAAGATTCACATGCGTTCATTTCGTTTTCTGGGAACAAGCAGTGTGTGAAACATTAAAGCAGGATGTGGAAACCAAAGAAGTTTAATTAGACACGATTTCAACAAGTAAATATTGTGCAATCGACACCATTTCAGTAACATTTTGTAATGACAAATCGAATGCGTCGAAACTGATTTCTGAGCGCTGATGATGGTGATGACTACAGCTTCCATGCGTTCTTCATCATGGTGATGAAATACTCATCGCTGTCGACAGAAGCGCTGACTCCGCTGTAATAGTTCACAAACTCCTCCAGCGTCACCTGTCACGGGAAGAAACAAGAGTTTAGCACGTTATGGACGCTTTCAAAGATATCATTTTATTAGAATACACAGCACATTTTGACTGGCATCAATTAATAAAAATGTTTTACCTTTTCCCCCATTATGGTGGAGTTACCAGCAGGACTAAAGGCCCGTTCACCTCAAGAACGATAGTTTGCGTTCACACTAACGCATAACGTTCTGTTTATTATAGGCAGGTGCTGTTTTTGTTGTCTGCTGCGCATTTAAAGAACGACTTTTAAAACTTTATCTCTTTCGTATTTAGTGTAAACGGGCCTTTAGCGTCCACACAAATGCACGTTATGCCCGGTTCAGACTACACGATTTTAGCCCGATTTTGCCACGATTTGCTTGACGTGGGGATTCGTAAAGGACAATGGGCGTCGGGACACAAGATTCCATCGTTTCAGCTCGTGTAGTGTGTCATAGTGGACGACAACCGATTCCGCGTCTGCGATGCTTCACGACAGAAAGACTAGCATGTTTAATTTTTTTTCCGTCGTCCACGACAAGTTCTGTCACATTGGTGACGTTGACCAATAGCAGCACAGAAGCTCTTTCAGACACAGGTTTCAAACATGGCGAACGAAAGAGAGATGATGGTGCTGCTAGGTGGGATTATGAGATGGAGGAAAGGTTCGTGGAGCTGTGGCAACAGTACTCCTGCCTGTATGATGTGTCATCCAGGGACTACCACGACAGAACAAAGAAAGAAAAATGCTGGCGAACTATAGCGGAAGCGCTTCAGCAATGTTTACACTCTTGTTTTTGGAAGTCAGTCGCTAGTTCCGCCTTCTCGATGACATCACGTGCGTTGTTAAAGATGAATGGTCGGGAAGCAACGTGTAGTCTGACCATAGACTGTATAAAAACATGGACGTAGTGTCCGTGACGACACCCGTAGATTTCCGAAGAGCGTTTTTGAAGCTCAAAAGTGGGCGGAGGCGGCCATCGCCATCTTGGCAGCGCGTCACTCCCGGATAATCGAAAATGGGCAAAGAGGCGGGAGCAGGTTGCTGAAGCCACGCCCACCTAGCTCGACGGTGGTGACAGCAGCTGCAATCCACCTGTCACTCAAGTGGCCACGCCCTTAATTATGCAGAACTTTAAGGCTTAATATAATTTAAACGGATGAGTTATAAAAAAATTCCCCCCGCTCACAGTTGTCATGAAGGGCAAAATTAGCTATATAGACCAAAATCCTTTTTTGAACCAGGCTGTAAACGTTTTTTTTCTGCTGTAAAGTTGGGCATTTTAACATGGGGAGTCTATGGGATTGACTCCCTTTTGCGGCCAGCCTCTAGCGGCCAGTTGATGAATAACAGTTTAAGTCACTTCCTTGTTGGCTTCACCAGAGAGAGCGGGAGGTTGCCGCTTGAGTCTGACATGTTTCTTGTCCACGACATGACAAGATTTTAGGAGTCAAAATCGTGTAATCTGACACAGTGACTATTGTGACCGACAAAAATATCGTGTAGCCTGAACCCGGCGCTAATGTTGTTTAAGTTTGGAAGTCATCCACCGTCGTTAAATGCTCGCGCTCTTCAAAGCAGAATTCTGATTGGCTGTCAATGTTTTTATCGTTCATCAGCTCGAAACAATTGTTCTGAAACTCAGTCCAACGATATTATTTCCATATTCTTACAGAATTAGAATGACTTTTAAAACTTTATCTTTGTTGTTATAGCCTAGTTATCATCCTCAGAACACAGCAACGTTCTGTTTATTCTAAAGGCGCACTGCAGTTTTGTCATCTGCCGCTTTAAATGCTCGCGCTCTTTAAAACAGGATGGACTCTGATTGGTTGTAATTGTTTTTATCGTTCATCAGCTGGACAAAAATCGTTCTGAAAGTAATTCTCCACTGTGTCTTCATTATAGTTGCGATGCGAACTTCATATTCTCATAGAATTAGAACGACTTTTAAAACTTTAAAATCTTTATCGTTATAAGTGCTAACAGGCCTTATCTGGACATTAATAACAGCTAACCTTTGACTACTTGAGTTAAGAGAAGCATCATTTCTCATTTCACATGCAAAGAGCTCATTTACATTACAGTCTTAAATGTTCAGATAAAAATGATAAAAAATAAGGTGATAAACAAATGCGAAACTCAAATTATGAATAACTTTTAAAAAAGTGTAATTTCCAGGTATGTATAAAGTCCTAATGTGGTTTATTTATTTATATATTTTGTATAGATTAAATTTAGTAGTGGAAGTGACGATTATTATGAAAGAAGGTGGTTAAAATAAGCTAAGTCTTCAGCCTACACATTTTTTTTTTTTTGGTTAATATGTAAAATTATAATAAAATATGAGCACCGAAATATAAGGAGGATGATGATGGTAATATTGTCTAGTCTGCAGACCCTTATCAGACTGAAAATGCATCCCATATCTGAAAAATTGGAGGTACCTTTCCATCTTTGTCATACGGAGAGTCAAAGTTTTCCAGGAAAGAGCGGAAGACTTGTTCTTCTGTCCACTCTCCGCTCTTGTATTTGGGGTGATGTTTGCTGTTGTAGACACCCTGTAGATCTTCTATGGTCACAACGCCGTCTCCTGTCTTATCAAACTTCTGAAAAGCCTGATCGATCACCTGTCTCCGTGCGCTCGACATGGGAGGCTGAAGCAAAGAAACAGAAGAAGCAGGTTGCATTGAAATGAACACGAAAAACTTACTTTTTTGTGCATTCTTACCCTTAATTTCTCAAGAAACTCATCAAAGTTGATAGTGCCGCTTCCATCCTTGTCCATCATGGCAAAGATCTGCTGTGCTTTGTCCTTCCCCACAGACACGCCGTAGTTCTCCAGCCCCTTCTCGAACTCCTGGAAGTTTAGAGATTTACTGCCATCATCATCCATGATGCGAAACGTCCTGGAAAGAATTTATATTCTTAGTTAAACTTAAAACATATTTTCATAATTTCCCCCCAAATCCTCTACCTTTGTAAAAGAATTAAACAGAAAGATGAATATTTAAAATACTGATTTATTACCTCGCATTGTCAAGAACATGTCCATGTCCCAAAATTATATTTCCTATAAAAGTATATAACTAATTTAACTTAAAAACATAGCTCAGTTGCTGCCTTTAAAGGGGTCATATGATGCGATTTCAATTTTTCCTTTCTCTTTGGAGTGTTACAAGCTCTTGTGGAGTCAGCAGTCTTAACCGTGGCTTGTGTACTGCAAACACATACCAGCTTCATCCCTGTGTCTGTCACGTGACTCTGTTCCCCTTTCGGGCTCTGTCTTTACATTTATTTTGAAAGATGAAGCTCGTGATTATGGTAAGGGGTGTTACATTTCTGACGAGTGCTTGCGGTGTTCGGCCAATCACAATGCACTGGGTCAGCTGGCCAATCAGAGCAGACTGCGCTTGTCGGAAGGAGGGACTTTGTAGAAAACGAAGCGTTTGAGAGAGGCGGGGCATAGAGGACCTACAATAATGTACAGTATTTGAAAAATAATGTGTTTTTTGAACATTAAAGCATGTCAACATATTCTGTTACACCAAATACACAAAATAATGATCTTTAAAAAAAGCATCATATGACCCCTTTAAATGAATATCATTTAACCACAGCATTTTTACTGTAACAGAAAAATACTGCAATATGAAAATCTATCGAGTATCACAACTGAGAAGAAATCAACGACTCAAAAGTGAAGCATCTGAATGCACAATGAGTAATGTGCTTCATTTTCATGAAAATGTTCTCTATGTACAATGCAGTTTCTTATTATTTTTTTCTTTTGATTTTGGGTGGAAATATGCCTTGATTTTGTGGTGAAGTATGACTTGTTTTTCCCTGAGATTCGTCCCATCACTGGTTCAGTCCCCCTGGTGTAACCTATAAAGGTAACTATCCTGTTCAAGGGCACAGTGGTGATCATTCATCATCAGCTTCAAGCAGGAATCAAAACAACAGCTTTACTAATGCTGCACCTCATCCCCTCAGTCTTTCTTCGAAACCACAGACTCATATATATTCACAGTAGATTGTTTTTTCATTCCTCTTGCCTTCCAAGACCCTTGATTCCCGCCGCGCCTCTCTTGAGGCACTGCTGCCTGAGCTCCTGCACTGCATCTGCGGCCATAGCACCTCAGCACAGTCTCGGTGGATCCACTTCAGTCGCCTGCAGCTTCAGGTTGGTCTGGCAAGAGATGAAGAATGCAGAAATGCACTGAGGTGGTGCTCAAGACGTCTCGTGGGCAAACAAGGAAGTGCTTTTAATGTAGCGACTTCTGTTGTCTTGGAAACATAAACTCATAGGATGTAACCACGGCAACTGAAGTGTACACATAAACCGCCATAAAACACAATAGGCTACACTCATGTTTTACGACAGACTTGAGACTATAGGCTATTTCATCTTTCTCTATAAAAGTCGAAATGAAAAGTTCCATATTACTGACATCTGCTTTATTACCATATTCATCAGAGTTTTTTTTCACACATCGGATACTTAGGCACTTAGTCACGTAGACTACGTATCCGTTGTAAAAAAAACAAAAAACAAATACATTTAACAAATATCAGCTTTTATTTAGCCTCGTCCTTAATGCAATTTCCGCTTTTTGATTCGTAGAAAAAATTATTTGATATATAGATTAAGTCAAATAAATATGAAATATCATACCTGTCTTTTGCGGTGGTCTCTTGCGAAGTGCGCAGTCTCACGTGTTTCTCAGGCGCACCTGCGTGTTTCTCCGCCCCCCAAACTCAACTCTCTTTTTGATTGGCTGTAAGGCGTGTCAATCATTACCTGCGTTCAGCATCTGTATTAATCGATAATCGTCAACATTAAAAAAAAAACATATTCACATAAATTGTTTTTATTTATCTATAGCTGGGTTTTACCATAGTTTCTGCCAAATACCAGAGTTAGTCAACTGCAATTATTATTTCTGCTGTTTTTTATATTGTAAAACGCTATAGAATCAAATTCCAAGTGTAATAGCTGCATTTCAGAATGTTTCTATAAATTTGTGTTAATTTCTAACTGAGTTTTACTCTAGTAACAGTAACTGTATAACCGTTATTAGGCGAAAACTGTGTAATTGTGTATAAGGCGGGAATGTTTGATCACGTGACGCTAAATCGGCCTGAAGGATAAACGCGTTTCTCATGAAATTCAAAATAGGGCAGACATTTTCTGGTGTATTCATCTGTATTTACCACGGTAAACTATGACACTTCAGTACAGGTAAATTGTCTATAAACAAACCTTCTTCACGTCTGAACTAGTTTGTAGATTGAGTTTGTTGTTTTAGAGTAGGCTAGCCTGTCAAAACAGATTCTCATGGAAATACATCCAGATCACTGAATTTTTATTGCAATTACAATTCCCATGCATTCATTCTCATTTGTTTCGCATTAGTAGTTTTTGATTGTATTATTATTAAAGATGGCCCATAGATGTTCTTAACAGGTTTCATGATGTTGTAAATACGTCATTGTTTTTCTATTAAGATGTTCACATTTACAGGAGAAGCAGCTGAAATGCTTTTAATTGCTTTCGTCTGGTGTGGAGTGGAAAGTAACGGAGACCAACCAATCTTGGACCAACAGAGAAATAGTTTATGCTTTCTTGTTTACTGTGTCTCAGTGGTTTTAAACATAAACCGGACTTCTCACAGAGCATTAGAGGTTGTGTAGAGTTATTGGTTTCATGGGCACGACAGTGATATGCACCAGTGACCCACAGAATGAAGTGACCCGGATCTGATGGTCGTCCTACAATGGGCTAAATGTTTGCAGCCAATAGCAACAGTTGTATTTGTGGTCATGTTGAAATCGTGCTTATCAAGCTGCTCTGTTGGTGTTTTCTCTGCACAAGTTTATACCACCAGTTTGATTTCTGTATGTTTTCGTGCTTTTGAACATTAGTTCAAAACATTTCAGTTAATTATGTGATGGTAAAATCCAAATAATGTGTTAATTAACATGATTTTACAAACGTACTGAGCCAGTAAGAAGTATTCACCCCCCTTGGAAGCTTTTATGTTTTACAACATTTAGCCTCAGAAGAATTAATTAAGCTTTTTTGACACCGATCAACAATAAAATATTCTTTCATGTCAACACACATTGTACATCTGGCCACTACAGGGTTTTTTCCTCAAGCTTGGTCAGGTTGCATGTTGGTTGTGTGCGAACATCTTTTTTTTTTTTATAAAGTTCCCCCATAAATGATCAATCAGATTGGGATTTGCGACCATATTACAAAAAATTGTGTTTAGTAAGGCAATTTGTGTGAGAATAACTTTTAGCCCTTCACTTGAGACCGTAGGTATCTGGTTGTCATTGGTGGCTTCCCTTAGATTTACAGCTTCTTGCGTTTATTAATGATTGATTTAAGTGCACTCCAAGGGATACTCTGTGACTTGGAAATCTTCTGGTATCCATTTCCTTCCTTGTGCTTTTCAATTAGCTGCTTAGATTGATCTTTTTTTCCTTAAAGGGGTCATATGATGCGATTTAAATTTTTCCTTTCTCTTTGGAGTGTTACAAGCTCTTGGTGCATAAAGAAGATCTGTAAAGTTGCAAAGACTAAAGTCTCAAATCCAAAGAGATATTCTTTATAAAAGTTAAGAGTCAACCACGCCTACCTAAAACGACTCGTTCTAACACGCCCCCACATGTCTACATCACGCCCAAATGTTCACGCAAAGAAAGAAGGCGTAACTTTTATTCTCGCTGTAGTATTGTTGCCGCCGCCGCCATGTCATGAAGGCGATGTGTGTTTCGTTGTGAAAGCGAAACTACTTTGTTAGGCCTTCCAAAAGAGGACACGACTAGAAATCAGTGGTTAAAGGGTTAGTTCACCCAAAAATGAAAATTAGCTTGTGTTTTACTCACCCTCGAAGCATCCTAGGTGTATATGACTTTCTTCTTTCAGACGAATCCAGTCGGAGTTATATTAAAAATTGTCCTGGCTATTCCAAGCTCTATCATTGCAGTCAGCGGGTGTTGCAGTTCAACAGTTCACAAGTCGTGAAATAAAGCTTGTTCCGTACGCTGATCCGTTCCGGCGGAAGGCGTATGACGTATGTGCAGCACGCGCGCCTCTGAGATATGCTAGTCTCGCGAGTTTGTTTAATAGGAGCAAAGGAAGCAAAGTTTCCTTACTTTAACAAAGGAAAACCAGTCTCCCCTTGGTTTATATCGAAATCCTCCGACATTTTTCTTTGCAAATCTTCGGTTTGTACTTCTAATTCATGACTTGCATTTTGTTTTGTTCTCTCTCCGCATTTGTCACTAATTACGCAACGCTGCGCATCCTACGTCATCCGCCGGAACTGCTTCAGTGTATGACAGTCAGCGGAAGTGAGAGAAAAGTGTTTATTACGTTTGAAATATGGATATTTTTCTTACAAAAACACATGGATTCGCTACAGGAGGCCTTTATTAATCCCTCGGAGCAGTCTGCGGCACATTTTATTATGAATGTGCGAGCTTTATTTGACGACTTGTGGACTGTTCAACTGCAACACCCGCTGAGTGCCATTAAACAGCTTGAAATATCACAGACAATTTTTAATATAACTCTGACTGGATTCGTCTGAAAGAAGAAAGTCATATACACCTAGGATGCTTTGAGGGTAAGTAAAACAAGCTAATTTGCATTTTTGGGTGAACTAACCCAGTTGTATTTACAACACTGTTCCAGAACACTTCAACCCAAATATTCAGATGTGTGCAGCGCATTTTATGGAGGACTGTTTCCTGATCCTGGGAGAGTAGACTACAATGCCGGCTGTTCTGACTCACAGACTGTAAGTACGTTTAGCAACATCATATGACCATTTTAATGGTGGTTCTGCCACAGTACTGACTCAACAGAAAGTTGGACCTACCAGATTGAGGTGTATTTATACTAGAAACAAGCCCATTGACAACACAGGTGATCTCAATTTACCTATTTATGTGACCTCTAAACCCAACTGGCCACACCAGCGATGGTATACATGTGTCATATTAAATGGGGTTAATGCTTATCGAATGACTTATTTTGGATTTTACATTCTGAGAATCAGTTTTCATAATAAGTCGTCCACTTATTTATGGTATTGCTTTAAAATTTTTTTTAAATAATTTGTATTGTCCTTACATCACCCCTTGCAGCAATCGCTTAAACATCAAAGCGTTGTAAACAAGATCTCTCCCACTAGAATTTAATTCTTCTGTCTGTGCCCTGAAGTTGCGGCATTGTAAATCTGCCGTCTACACATTTTGTAGTGGAGCATAAACAGGAAAGTGAATTTAGAAACTCAAGACAAATAAGCAACTTTTTATGTTTTGTTGTAAGCTGGGTATGTTTATTCAGCCGACTTTAGAAATTCCATTTGGCACAAGTGTAAAATAATAAATAAGTTTCTGTCTCCCTCCTGAAATATCTAAATATAAATGAAAAGCATTTTGCAATAAATACCGTTTATCCACAATACAGATGCACTGCATCGACATTTCTGCTGTTGGTGTGAAAAAATCCAACACTCCCAAATGCTGATCATGATTCGTTGACATGGGAAATGTAACAACACACACATACATTTGCATTCCTGTAATACTGCCGCAGTACTTTCATCTCATTTGTACACACAAATACAGACACTAAAGCACTCCACTCCAATATAAATGGACAGAAGTAGAGTCACTGAACCCCTTGTCTTATTTGCATTAGCTTTTTCAGAGGGGGACAAAAACTTTTACATGCTAGGTGACATCTAGTTTAAAGGAATCGTTCACTCAAAAATTAAAATTTGCTGAAAATTTACTAACCCTCCTCAGGCCATCCAAGATGTAGATGAGTTTGTTTTTTCATCAGATTTGGAGAAATGTCGCATTACATCACTTTCTCAACAACGTATCCTCTGCAGTGAATGGGTGCCGTCAGAATGAGAGTCCAATAAAAACATCTCAATAATCCACAAGTAATCCACACCACTCCAGTCCATCTATTAAAGTCTTGTGAAGCTGTGTGTTTGTAAGAAACAAATCCATCATCAAGACACTTTTAACTTCAAACTGTTGCTTCGGACTAAATAATCCATAATATTATTATTTTTTTTTTGTATTGGATATAATAATATCCATAATATTCAGACTCATTCTGATAGCACCCATTCACTACAGTGGATCCATTGGTGAGCAAGTGATGAAAAGTCTTATTTCTCCAATAAAGAAACAATTGCTTCTGCATCTTGGATGGCCTGAGGGTGAGTAAATTTTAAGCAAATGTTCATTTTTGGGAGAACTATTCCTTTAAGTTAATTTACAGATTGTATTAATTGTTTGCAATTTTCCAAAAAAATAAATAATTTTATTTGCACAGACAACACTGGTACTGCCTTATCGAAGCGGGCGATCACCTTCTGTATCCAATTAGCAAGCTTAGACACAGTTCAATCGCTTACTTGGGATCCACCATTGGCAGGGTGCCCTACATTTCTAAAAACAAACTGAAAACTTGTTGTCTTCTCTACTGCTGATATTTACACAGGGCAGGATGTACTGATTGTTTAAAGTTGAGTAATTCCTTGCACTGGGTTTGACGATGTGTGGCAATCTCGGGGTAATTCCATTTACATTGCATTTTAATTTACAGTTTAAATACATAAATGACAAAACAAATTTTCCACCTGAATTGAAATGTAATTGATCCGAGTAAAATGACTGCATGCACCATTTAGCTGTTGCAATGTTTTTACAGTAATTCCATTAGCTTTGAAGGAAAGACGTGTTTAGGGCTTGACGGATCCTGGCGTGACTCCAATCTCATTTGTAGTTTTGTCCTTAATTACTTCAGAGTTATTCAGTTAGACCACAGTCTTTTTCAGTAAGAAAGAACAGCAAAGAATGAAGAAGTTACGTGAGCGAATATAAGAAACTTAGTTGTAGATTATTGTAATAATCTGTGAACCAATTTGGGGATTGTGGCTCATTTGATACAGACCAAATCCAACTATATCAGATTGTTCAGCACGCTGTGTGTTTAAACCAGATTTGTCCTTTTGTGTTTCTGATTTACATGAAATACGGTGTAATATATACAGGAATTAAACTGGAATGTAGCAGTAAAAAGACTGGCTACACTTTTACAGCTTGTTTCTGAAAGGCCAAGGCTAAACTTAATGCTTAATCCTGTACGTCTGAACAGCTTAGAACTGCTTACAACTCCACCATTAGTCTCTTCAGCAGTTCATCTTCACACATACAATGATCAGTTAATTGCGTTTATGACAGATTTCATGCTCTGTAATTAGTCCAGAAAAGATAACATAAAAACTTTTTCTATGGAAGGGTGAAGCATGTGCAAGGTTCAAGGGGTTTTACAGCCTGATGTCAAAGGAGAACGATTTTAAGCTGCACAATATTTAAGTACCCGTTTGGCTTTAGAAAATTGCATATGGGAAAATTTGCCCTGGTCACATTTCTGCAATATATGTACATCAGTAATAGTACTTCATTCATTTTATTTTTTGCATTACTGTAGTGAGAATGAGTGCAATGAATAGCCAGGAACAATGTCAAAATAAAAATGTTCTGTTCTTGACAGGTTTTGTGAGATTTAACCCAATTTACTGTTGCTTTAGAACCCCAAAACCAATACTTTGATCTAAAGAATCAAGAATTTTATGAATTTTATGAATTTTATGAACTTGTACAGCAAAAAATGGTTCTTATGAGGACAGATCTTTGTTTAATGTGAAGTGCTACAAAGAACCTTTATTTCTAACAGTATAATGTTCCATCTGCATAAATGAAGGTTACAATTACTTGTCCATAAATGTGTTCAAGGATAATAAATGTATATATTTGCTGTTGAGAAGGACCAAACCTGGAATTACTTTCCAAAAGACAATGTATCTCAAGTATCATTGTCTAAAAGAATGTAAACATGACCATGAGAAAAATGAACTTTTAAGATCTTTGAGGGACAACACCTTTTGGAAAACTTTTTAAGCTAAACGTTTCCCTATTGGCCATTGAATTGGATTGCCTATTCCTATTTTAAATGTAAATATCAGGGTGTAAATTGTCTCAAGGACAGGAGAAGCTTGGATTTGATCAGACATGCTTTGGCAAGGCTTTAAGGTCAAATTCAGGGGTTTGAAATAGTGTGCATATACGTTTCAAGTGACAGTGTTGTTTTAGGTAATCTCCATCCTAGGAGATTTTGGTCGAGAAACATTTCTCTACATGTATACCTCTGATTCATATTTCTGATTAGCGTAATCCCAGGAAGTGGGTGCGGTAGAACAAGATTCATTGCATGTAGGCCTACATTCTTCTAAGAAAACAAACAAAAAAGAAACAAAGAAAGAAATGAGGTAGTTTTCACAGCTGCGTTGCACTTCATACTTCAGTGTTCAGATTCGTAACAATAGCGAGCATCATACAGTTGTCGCTGTAGCCCTCTACCATTAATCTATATATTTATATCTTCGGTTAAATACTACTATATCTGTACTTGTTCTTCTGCAGAAGTTTCCAGTGGAAGGCGAAAGTAGTCTCCCGCCAGCTTTTGGTCCCATCGAATTAAACCAGCGATCCACCTTTGGTTAAAGTCCATTGCCCTGTGCTAATCAAAAGTGCCAGTAACCACTGAAAAGGCAGAAACAAATCTTTATCCCATAGTTGCCAAGGCTTTAGACAATTCAGGCCTTATCTTTTGTGTTTTGCGTATCGCTTTTCTGTAGCTTTCACTTTTTCCATGGTGGCATTGTGGGTCCCTCTCAGCATCTTTTTCAGAATTGCAATTTGCCCTACGCTCTCGAATAGTTCCATGGTTTCTGTGTGTCACATGGTCGCCCTTTCCAAAATTCCTATGGTTACCACGGAATTTTGAAACGTTCTCGGTTGCCTTCGTAATGTATAGACATTCTCCCTGACGTTTCCACAGTTCGTCATACGCAACCGCATGCTCTCGCAGAGACGTTCTGGATGGTGTAGAACCTGTCCTTGTTGTCAAAGAAAGACATTTTCTTCTCAAACTTTGTAGGGCGACAACATGGGGCGTTGCGTGCCTTGTCTTTTTTTCCGTTATCCCGTCCTCGCCGGCCTTTCTCACTGGAGCTGTTATTTATCTGCATGTGCTCCATTACAAAGTCATAGTTGCGTCGCTCGTGGATGCACTTCCCGCTGCAGTACCTAAAGCTCACCGTCTCGTCGCTCTCGTACCCGAGCCCGAGCTCGCTCACCGTGAGCTCGATCTCGTGCAGAGAGCACGGCTTTGGGCCCTTCCGCGCTCGTTTGGTTCTCCGTCCCATCTCGGTTCTGATCCTCCTCTCCTTCCGGTCCACCAGGGTCGTGATCACCTTCTTCAGCTCGCCCTCGGTGAAGCTTTGGAAGAGGTACGAGACTAGAGGAAGAAAAACACCAGAGGAGAAAGTTAATACTTAGAGGTTGCTCTTTCATAATTCAGGAGACTTAACTGAGTTCTCAGGCCAGGAACATACTTTACACAAGTATGCAAATGTGTATGCTTTCCAAACATTTACTAATGTGCCGTTAAACATACTTAACGTGCGTTTGTGTTACTGTGCCGGTAACAAACCTCAGTTCTCAAAGGGCGATTGAATGCCATTAAACCAAAGCCAGGCTAATTTAGCATGGATTCCCTCCAGAGTTTCTGTGGTTTTGGTTTTGGATTTATGAGTAAAAATAAGGTCTGTTTTTAATGTTACATTAGCATTTTGTTCTACAACATAAATTATGCACAATCAGGCTTCAGATGTGAATTTTGAAGCCACTCTGGGTCAGACAAGTTGCTGTGTAAGAATTACAGCAGTTGCTTGTCAAGCATATGAACTCACATCCTTGTAGTTTTTGTTGTTGTTGTTGTTGTTGTACTTTCTTGCAAATTGCTTGTTTTTTACAAAATACATTGAATTATGTTCTTGTCTGAGGTCTGATTTTACTCAACAACAACAACAAAAAAAACTGGGAAAAGCTACTCAAATGCTAAAAATCTTTTTGATTTTGTGTAAAAGCTCAAAAGACTGTAAAAGCATATTTAATTTGACAAATGAAAACAAGGCTAAAGTTGGGTTTAGATGTTCAGTTCATTTTATAGGTTCATTGGACCAGCATTGAGTCAGCATTGCCACTGAAAATGTTATATTCATCCATTTTGGACATCCATTTAATGTCTTGCAATGCAAACTCATTGTATTCTACTTTGTTGTTTCAATTCTGCTGATTGGCCATATGGCCACAAAGGTAATGTTATTAATCTAGCTGGCTAACACACATGTGGTTAAATATAACTTGAAAGCATTCAGTAAAAATGTGTTAAAGCATCATGTATCATTGTTTTCCAGCAAAAGTGTGGTTTTGAATTTATAGTGTTAACGGCTGTCCAGAAACAAAATCTATATTGTTGAACCCTGGATTTTATATTTTTGTACTTTTCTTTCATTTTCATCTATGTCTAATTAGATATTTTATGGCGTCTACCTTCACTGTGGTCTCTAGAACTATAAAATTAATGTGGATAGGCAGTATGTTTGGGCTTTATAGTTAGAAATTTGAAATGTTCGATATGACTTGGTCTTGAGATATCTGACTTTGATTGAGACTTTAGTGTCTTGGCAAGCACAGTTTGAAACTCTAAAGGCGACGAGTGAAATTGCTTAAATCTTATTTTCTGGAGACATGTCTGAAAAGTGGGAAAATTCAGCTTCAGGTTTCCATGTGCTCTTCATTTTCAATTCTGTCTAGGTTAAGGCTGTGCAACTAAATGCAATTGCAAAAATTTGTGAATGTAAACATACCTAATACATTTCGATGGAAGTGAATGCATGTGTCAAACTCTAGGGCTTAACCTGCACATTCTGTTGTTAAGAATTAAATCGCTCACTTTAAACCATTGTAATGATCAGTTGTAAAGCAGGATTATGTCCATCTTTAAGATGGCTTTAGAGCATATTTGCACTGACCTTTTGCTACTCCAACCCTGGCCCTGCAGTACCTAATAGTGCACATTTTGTGTGTTTTTTCTAATCAAAAACACTCCTGATTCCATTTATTAGAGACACTGAGTTGGGTGTCAGCTAAGGGAGACACCCAAAATGTGTACCAGGTTGGGAAACACTGTTCTATATGTAAGATGAGAATAGGTCTGCTTTTCTTTGCAGTCTTTACGAGTCAGTCCGGGTGTGTATTAAGAAAATTGCTTTTGCATGCAAGTGCACACTGTTCATGCAGCCGTTTCAGCATAGTGTATGAAGGGGTTGAAGAAAAGGTGTGAAAAATATTGTTGACAATGATAAACTAAATTTAGTTAAAACTAAACTTTCAGCACATCAACAAAACGTCCAGTGTACCTTATGAGTTAAGGCAAGTAAGTGTCAGTTTTGAGATGTTGTTTCAGACCAATGGAAAGAAAACATCCACTTTATTTTATTGCACTCCATATGTTTGTGTCTATAGATTTAAAGGGGTCATATGATGCGATTAAAATTTTTCCTTTCTCTTTGAAGTGATACAAGGTCTTGGTGCATAAAGAAGATCTGTAAAGTTGCAAAGACTAAAGTCTCAAATAACACTTTTCATTACACCAAATAGGCAAAATAATGTTCTTTTTAGTAACATCATATGACCCCTTTAAATTATAATAAGTATATTTAAAGTTTTTCTCTACTTCTGTAGCACTTAGCTACATAGGAATACAACTGTAAAGTTGTCTATATTCTGAGGTTTTAACAGAGAGGATTGTTTATATATACTTTGCACTGATAAAACCATCTTTTGACAGTATTTTCTGATTTATGTGAAAGAGAATTCCAGAGTCTCCTCTGTAAAAACCTTTGACTCTGTCAACAAAATGAAACAATAATTTCGAACCTGTCTTTATCCTTCTAGCTATCAGTGCAAATGAGTGCATATTTAATTAGACACATCCTTTGCACATTTAAATGTACCATTTCAGAAAACTTTAATGCCAGAGAATGTTTGCAATTCTTAATTTAATCAATCAACTGGGCAAGTATGACACTACGTGATGTTTCTTTTATAAATACAATTGCGTCCAAAGTTTTTTCGTGTAAAGTATAGTTAGATTACTCTGTAAACAGGTTTATATAAGTATATGTACATTTATATAGGTTATATGTATACATTTATAGGATTACTTGTCTGTCTATATGTAGCACTGTGGTCCTGTGAGGCACAACATTTCATTCCCTTGAATGTCTCCACATATTACAGAATGACAATAAAGCTTGTTTGAACTTGAATTATATCTACTAGTTAAATGTTCTACTCTGTTCACCTGGGCGGTCTTGTCTTAAATATCAAGTGAGCTGACAGACCGAATGTTAAATGAGGAGTTATGTGAGTGAGCAGCACTGGCTGCAGAGGCTTGTAGTATAAACATGACGGCGACTGTAGAATGACATATTAAATCCTTCCGTCATGTCTGTGTTAACGCGACCTAATCCACACTGGCACTGTCGCTAAGGAAAACAAAAAACAGGTTTCTCTTACATTCTGAGAGAAAAGAGCCCATGTCCTCAGTGGCTCTGACTGCTCGGCGCGGCATTGGCTTCCTCGATGAGGTTGATGAGAATGAAGATGAGAATGATGGTGGCGGTTCAAGTGCTGTGGTTGCTGGCTGTGAGGAAGGGTCTGATGATATCCCTAAGGCCTTTGGGTAGGAAGACCCAACAGGTGATGTGGTTTTCAAAAGCAGGAGGAAAAATGAGGCACCAAACAGGATGAAGGCGAGGGTGACCTCTTTCCATACCCTCATCTTAGAGCAGCGTGGAGCATTGAAACTGAAAAACACATGTCAGAACAAACCCATTAGACAACTCGTCGATGTTTGGTTAAGCTCAGACCGACTTGCTGAGATTTTTATCAGTCTTTTTGAAATATGTGGCTTTCTTCCTATTTATTGAAAGCTTTCAGTGAACTGTAAAAACGTTCCTGAGGAATAGTGGAAAAATGAATTAAATGAATAGTTTGCACAAAAATGACTTTGTCATCTTGTCATTGTCTTTTAAGGTAGAATATCCAGGCTTTTCCATTCAACAAAAGTGGATGATTTATACTGCTAAAAAGGGCAAAAAGCATTATAAAAATGCTGTCCATCATACACATATAACTTGTGTGCTGTAATGCTAGTCATATTATAACTTATGTGAGGAACAAACTGAAATTTAAGGGATATCTATATTTTGTATGGGTCTGAATTGCACATTTAATAGCATATGCTCATTTTCCTTCACTTGCAACAATCTTCAAATGTGCATTTAAAGTTAGCAAATTTCAATTTAATATTTTCATACTGTACATTATAATGTTGTGATGTCTAAAGTCACTTTACTATTTAATATTTGTTTTTAGTGTTTTATTTTTGATTTAGAAAAATATATATATTTTAATATTTATATTAAAAAATGTATATATTTAATATTTATCTGTACATAAACAATTTTCATTCAGAAATTGCTTTCAAATTGAAAAATTACAGAGAAATCACAAACTGAATGAAACGTGAAATATTGAAGTATGAATGTCTTATAAAACATACTCCAATAATATTTTTTTATTTACAACTTTAAAAAAAATGTTTACAGTGTATCAGCCAGAATTTTAATATCGCACATGCCTAAATTTAAGTCATGATTTTTTTTCTGCAATAGTGCTCAAATCTCTTTTGCTTTGTTGTTTAAATAGGTTGCATCACTATCAGTCATATCATGTGACACAAAAACAAACTGCGTTTGGTAGCTGACTTGATGCATCTTAAAGGACTATTTTTCTTTTTCTTTCCAGAACTTGCCAGTATAAATCCTAATCCACTTAATAATGACAAAAAATGGCAGTTAATGATAACTTAATTTTTTTTTGTGGTGAACTAGTATTTTAAGACTTAAGTATGCACTATAGGGACTAAACATTTAGTGTACTTTAGTTTAGTTGTACTTTGCTTTCAGTAGCATACTTGGCATACAATGTGTGTTTTTTTTAAATAAGCCTTAAGTATACTATAATACAACCTACTGTCTGTGTTGATAGGTTAGTTATCATTTGTGCAGGATGAATAGAATGAGGTTCGTTCTTTCAGGTCATTGTCTCCTTTCCCCAATTGATTCCTCATCTTCATGAAGGTGTGTCCTTCATAACATCCACCTGGGTGGAGACCCGGCATTATCGTACGCAAGCAAGTCCAAACAATTAGTCCTACTTTTCCTTAGGGGGAATCTTTGTTTGCAGAGATGATCCATTCAGTGTGAGCAGATTTATGACGGTAAACAGACCTACATTAGTTGTTGAAATTACCTACATGGGTTGAGATGAATCTAGATTTATTTTGTTGCATTTTTCTTAAAAATAAAGGAGTTTATTGACATTTATAGTTCCATGAAGAACCTTTAACATCCATGGAACCTTTCCATTCCACAAAAGTTTCTTTAGATTTTTAAAATCTTCTTCTAAGAAAAACTGAAAGGTTCTTTGGGAAACAAAAGTGTTTCTTCTGTGGCATCACTGCAAAAACACCCATTATTTTTAAGAGTGTATGGTGAAAAGGGAATTTTGCTATAGTTACGACACTTTTTCTCGACCAAAATATTTAATAACCAAATACGTTATGGGTGGTATGGCTGATGGGCGTTCCAGTTTTCGGGAAGTCTAAAGTGCTTTCTTCGAACCTTCTATGTGGGCTTGCTGGTATAATGTCCCCTGCCAGATCTATCTGTTGTCTTTTGTTTGTTCAGCTAAACAGGTCTATGGAGCATATATCTATGCCTGCATGTACACACATATTTTTCTTTCATCCTCTCAAAAGACTGCATTCTTTCCCTGTTGAGGAATCTCTTTCCAATGCTGTGTTGTCTTTGCAGTTGAGCGTTCTTTTTTTTTTTTTGCTGAAAAGTCTTTGTTTTCATTGCTATCACTAGGTAGGTTTTCTCCAGAGTAGGAGAGGAAGGTGGAAAACTCTTCCCCAGATGGGTAACATTTAAGGACAAATCCAGACAGTATATGCTGGAAGTGTTTTGCCAGACTGACCATATATATGGTGGTCTTACTGGGTCAATGTGGGTCGGGCTGCCAATTCATGTTGGTCTAAAGTAGAGATGCTCAAACCAGTGCTTGCATGCAAATATTGGCCCATGATGATCTGTAATTTGGTCTGCCAATTTAACTTTGTGGTTTAACATTATTTGTTGTATTTTTTTTTTTTTTGCATTGAAATGTAGCATTTAAATGTACATTTTCCATTTAGTCTGGAATAATGCAAGTTCCTTTTGGCCCACATCACTTTATGAAGTTTGATTTTCGGCCCTGGTCTAAAGACTTAATGGGTTGTCTGAGGTTATGATGAATTCAGGTAAATTGCCATGGCTCCAAATGTCCCAATTAACAGAGATAGATAGATAGATAGATAGATAGATAGATAGATAGATAGATAGATAGATAGATAGATAGATAGATAGATAGATAGATAGACTGTAAAAAATTATGTCTGCCCTCAGCAAATATGGCACATTAAAATAAACAGATTTGACTTAAATTCAATTTTGCACATTACTTAATTTAAAGCTACAAATGTTACATAACATATTGAGTTCATGGTTTACTTTAATTAATAAAGAAACACAAGTAATTTTGAGTAAAGTCAACAATAAAAAAAAAAAATTAGTCAAATTAACACAATTTTTTAGGACCCAAGCAGATGTCTGCCCTCAGCAAATATGGCTAATTAAAATAAACAGATTTACCATAAAAATTCAGTTTTGCACATTACTTAATTTAAAGCTACAACTGTTACATAACATATTGAGTTCATGGTTTACTTTAATTAATAAAGAAACACAACAAGTAAATTTGAGTAAAATCAAAAATACTCAATTTTAGTCAAATTAACACAATTTTTTAGGATCCAAGCAGATACCACGTGACGAACTGGATTAACTTTGAAGCGCGCAATTTGTGGTGGCCATTTTAGTAAACCAGATCTCAGAAGAGGACTGCTCATCCACTGTGAAGGTGAGTAACTGTTATGTGAAATAAGTAGAACTTTTCTTTATCATATATTTTACTAGATATCGAATGAACACTTAAACATGTGCATGCATGCCGGAGTCACAACTTTTGTGAGACCAAAATACACATTGTATGGTTAATTTTTACAGTCGGCCTTTGATCGTAGGCTAATGCTAATCATGCTACAGTGACGATGTACCAGTGGCAGTTCAACATACTGCATGATACGACATACACATCATATGTTAGCATTGTAGTGGTAGATCTGGGCGTATATATCAGTAGACAGGCTTTCATAGCCATTCCAGTTATAACCTTCAAATGATTTTACTCGAGTGCTGTCCTGACATAAGCATTTCTGCGCGCGCACACGCAAAGCCACACAGCACAAATAGTGAACCAAGATCTTCACAACTAATTGCTCTTAAACTGTTGAATACACTCAAGGTTTACATAAACAGTCGTTTACTTCCTTAGTGAATGTAAACAGAAAACTGGATGTGTGTAAGTACATTAAATCTGTGCAATTTCATTAATGTTAATCAACACAAGACTCACTGCTCTTGACTGATTAACTAACTTTGATTAGAATCTGTATATTGAATTCATACAGTAAAGTCTACTTAAGTTTACTGTTTACTGAAAATCCTGCTTACTTATTTTAGCATTTAAATCTTAGATGTTCACTGTCATTACTGTCATGCATTTTATTTTTAATATTAATATGAATTTCTATTTCTGTTTGTACTCAGGATCACAGATTGATTGTCTTCCAATCAAAGAACAATGACAATCTGATTGCACATTACCACATTGCCAGGTGAGTGAATATGGTCAATTTTGTGTTGTTTGCTTTGAAATTACTTTTATAGTAAGTGGAAAGTGCAAATTTAAATAATGAAAATAATGACTAATCTTAAAATAAATCAAATGAAAGTTTTTTTGTTTGTTTAAATTATTTGGTCAGATTAATGACTGCTTTGGATGTCTCCATCAGTGAGCTTCATACATGTTTTAAAGTTGAGCCTGACAACCAAAAAAGCACAATATGCATTTTATTGTTTTGTGTTATAGGACACTGATCGGGAAATAGCCCAAGACGACCCTACAAGGGGGCTCTCCAGATGGCAGTCCTTCAGAGACAGAAATAGTCTTGAAAGGTGTTGAGGTTCTGTCGGGATTGTCCAGTGTTGCAATGCATGTGTTGCCCTTCTTGGCCTGATGTATTCTGTAAAACTGAGTTACCTCAAACCACTGAGGTATACATTTGATTTGATTTTTTTCAGAAAATCCTGCTTGACTTGATTGCAACACTTCTAACCCCTGATTTACATGGCACACGTCTGCAATGCGTTACGGCTCACCGTGCTGCTCCGCTAAAGATAGGCACCTAGTCTATTTTTGACAGACACTGCGCCCAAGCCGCACAGCAAATACAAAATAAAAGTTAAAAAATCCTGTCAATTTCAAAATAAACACCCTGTGCAGACTCCCGAACGTATTTCACATTACTATATACTTGTTAAGATGCCAGAAATAGATGACGAGAGGTTCATCCTCAAAGTTGACAAACACACATTGTTATATGACACCACAAATCCTTTTCACAAAGACAAAAAGGACAAGGCGTGGAGTTTAATTGCATGAGTTGTATGAGTGGAATAAACAGAATTAAACCGGACAAAATGTAAACATTTAGCCAACCATGTTAGAACAACAACAAAAAAACCCGCTTTTGATTAACCTTTATGATTAAATGCATGTCTGCATGGCATTCAGTTTA